CACGCAAAAATGCAGGATGAGAAAAAAGCAAATATGCAAAAACAACGTCAAGATATCAGGGGGTAAAGAGAAAATCCAGACATTACGCCGAATAATTGTGCTTCATTACCCGCAGTTACTACTTACTGCGCGAGATAAAACGAAATCTTGTAAATTATTATTCTTGTACCTTCGCACGGATGAAACCACGCGCACAAGAAAGGCGCGTTACAACGCCAGCTACATCAACAAAACAGGAAATGAAAAAATATTCGGACATTACGTCAGAAGTAACTGCGCGTTCCATCAACTAAATATTGCTCACTCTACGAGATAAATTGCAACCGAGTAAATTATTAGTCTTATATATTTTCACGGGTGAAAGAAGAAACCCCGCGCGGGCGGGGAAATTACGCGCGCGCTCGCAAAAGAGAGAGAGAGAGAGAGAGAGAGAGAGAGAGAGAGAGAGAGGAGGGGAGAAAGGGAGAGGAAAAAAGATAATCCTGAAAAGACGCCTGATAAAAAACGTTAGAGATATTTTCGCGCGGTCGACGTTAAGCGCGTTTCGACCGTAATATCTCGCGATACCCTCCTCTCCCTCTTCATCCCCTGCCACGTGGTCTATCTTTCAGAGCGACGTGTATCTTCGGCGCCGGCAGTTATATATCGCGAGTGAGTTTTTTATCGGCGGGCGGCATCGCGCCGGACGGCGGGAAACTGACCGGACGTGAAAAGACTCGTGCGGGTTGTGAGCACCGCCAGCCGGTAGCAGAAAAAGAGAGAGAGAGAGAGAGAGAGGGGGGGGGGGGAAGAGAGACATCACAGTCGAGGGTGCAAGTAGCCTCTGGAAATGTTAGCCCCAGCCCGGATCGAACCGGCAGGGTTTGTTAAAAGCCGCTGAAAGAGCCGTAAGTAGTTAATTGATCCGTGTGCCGATAACGTTTGCATTGTATCGCCCGGGGGGAGAGAGTCGGAGGGGGACCAGAGGAGCAAAAACTGATAATTAATTCGTCTCGCGACGCATTAATCGGCGATCGTGCGCGGCAGGCACGAGTCGTCCTTCGCCGCTTCGTTTCAGAGCGGTCGGCCAGAGGGACACGTCGAGCCGACCCGAGTTCTCCCCTCGGCGAATCGGTCGGTACAAAGGGAGCTCTCGCGGTGGCGGCAGAGACGACGGGGAAAAAGAACGAACGCGGCCGGCCGGCCGGCCGGCGCGGCGCGGCGCGGAGAATCCGCGGAATCGAACGTCGATATCTTGCCTCGATCCGACGGGCGATTTCATGTACGAGCGCGTGAGTGCAGCAAAGGCCGGCATTAATTCGCGGTCGGCCCTTCGCTCGGCCGATCGCGTATAATTGGAAAAGCATCGGTGGTGCCTTGACGTTTTAATTAAGCTGCGATCTCGTCTGCCGGACGACCGCGCGCGCGACGACTGAAAGCGGAGCTTTCGCGATATCGCGAGCGCGCGCTGAGCCGCTGAGAAGAGACGAATGCGAAATTCAGCTTCTCTCCATGCACCACCCGAGCGGAGTTTTCGCTCCTGCGCGTTTTAATCCTGCAAAGCTTTGCCGAGCCTGAAGAGTCTCTCTCTCTCTCTCTCTCTCTCTCTCTCTCTCTCTCTCTCTCTTTCGAGATGTGTAACGCGATACAGTCGAAGGTCTCAATGTTCTTTCTCAATCCGCGGGCTTACACGCAGAGAGAAATGTTTGACTGAAAGAAGGAGCTTTCTGCTGGAGCACGAACGACTCAGAAATTTCGACTGAAAATATCAGAATTCTGTTTAAGTTAGCCGGCGATCCCGATAACTTAGACTGCATCCTCTCTCCTAACTCGAACCGGGATTTCGGAATCGTTCATGTTTCAGCAGAAAATTGTTTCATTCTAGCAAACATTTACTCCTCTCCGTGTAGAACCCAAATTCTGCGTCGGCTGACGCGAGGCGAAGCCTGGCTCGTACAATGTCGGGGAAAAAGGAAACGGGAAAAATCCTCAACATGATCTCATTTCTCAAAATCTCGTTTGCTCTCTTGCGGGAGCAAACGCTGCTCTCTCCGGCGACGGTTTGCGTCTCTCCCTTCGTTGTGAGGAGCGCGTGAGAGTGCATAACGAGCCTAACGACACGATCTTTTTTACGCACGGTGAGGTTGCGAGGAAAAAAAGGTGGCTCATGTTCGAAATCAACCCTTTCGCCCGCCGCTTCTGACCCTTTTAAGCCTCGGGCGATTTACATACATACTGAGCCAACGACGGCGGCGGCGCGACAAAGCCGGCGGAGAGAGAGAGAGAGAGAGAGAGAGAGAGAGAGAGAGAGAGAGAGAGAGAAGAGAGAGCCGGTAAGAGGCTACGATTTTTATTCCAGCGCGTTTCTGCTATTCAGTGTCTCGAGTCCCGGAATACAGAAAAACGACACAAGTATGATTTTAAGATTTACACGCGAAGAGGGGAGCGCCCTCTCTCTTCGAGGGCTGCGGTTTCGCTCGTGGAAAACGGCCGAGATCGCCAATCCCGGCCATTAAAGCAAGGATCCCGTCCTTCGATTTCGAGATTGCCTCGCTGTGAGTCGATTCGTCTTTCTAGCGACGCGCGAACGTCTTCCGAATTTTTCGGCAAGCCAGAATAATAATGTCGAGCGGAATTACCATCGCGCCGCATTACACGGCGCATCGTAATGGGGGGAGATTACATTTGCACGTAATAACGCACGGTTCGACGAGTCCGAGTCCATCATCACGCGCTACAGGCCGGACGTTTAATTCTCTTTGCATACGGTTAAAATGAACCATTGTAAACGCACCGGCGCGTTGATTTATGATTATCGCGATAATTTAGTGTTCCACATGAATATAACTATGCGGGGAGAAAGAGAGAGAGAGAGAGAGAGAGAGAGAGAAAGAGAGAGAGAGAGAGACTCCGCCATGTTTCCGTCGAGATTCAATACTCGTATCAAAAGCCGATAAAGAAGAAGGAAAAAAGGGAGGAACAAAAGCCGATAAAGAAGAAGGAAAAAAGGGAGAGATCTCGCCCTTCTCTCCTTTTATTTCGTCAGCGCGAAAGCCGTGCGTAGGGTTAAAGGACGAACGAGCCCCATTTGATCAGCCTGATGCTTCTCGCTGTAGCGAATTAAAGGCACAGGAGAACAAAGGCATGCGGATAGCCGAGAGTAAGAGAGGAAGAGAGAGAGAGAGAGAGAGAGAGAGAGAGAAAGAGAGGGGCGAGGGGCGGGGAAGAAGGTGCATCGCGCTCGATATCAAAACCGTAAGAAATTTAACGCTCGATACTTCCCGGCGATCTTGATGGGATAGCGCTTGCACGGCGAAATTTCTCAGGGCTCGCTCTTCAATTATTCACCATCGGAATCACGACAGAGCATCCAATCGAGAGAGCGTCTTTGATCAAAGATACCGTGGTTCCGGTCCGTCCTATCGAGCGGGCGGCGACGGCGGCGGCGGCGGCGGCGGCGGCGGCGGCAGCGGCGGCGGCGGCGCGGGTCGGAAGGTTATACGGTGTACATCGGATCCTTCGGCACGAAACGACCGAGGCAATCTTCCGATCCTCCTTCGCGAACAGGCACGGAAGCTGCGGAGAGCTGTGCGGTTACGCGGCGCACAAACGGAGCCCTCGTCCGCGCGCTGCTCCGCGGCTACGCCGTTTCTCGCGCAACGAAGGAGAAGCGAAGTTATTCTTCTCGTTCGTCTCTACGTTCTCCTCCTCGTCTTCTCGCGCGCCCTCGACTGCTCGCAGGCGGGTCTCCTCCTCGGGATTTCAACCGGCAATTATCTCGCGAAGATTCGTGTCTCTCCCGATGCTGCGTTTAATGCTTCACCTTGTTATTAATTAGGCGAATCGCGCGTCTCGAAATTTCTTCTCTTCGCGATTTTTCTCAATAGCGATTTTCAGGCAATGTCGATATATCGGGTTGAGCAGAAGGTTTTGCTCTGAAGTTTACCTTCCGCTTCTACCAAAAAGTCGCCAGGGAACTTTGTGGTTCAATGTAATTACTTCATCGAGAGACGTAGATAGATACATGGAAACTCATCGCATATATGAGCGCCCTCGCTATCTGTCGCTTTTCGCCGTTGGGTCTAAACTCTACGTTTGAACTTCGTCTACATCTTGGGTTTTGGCATTAAACTTCGGCGAAAATCCATTTAAGGGCACCCATTTCAGACCATCTGGGCTATTTTCGCCAAAATTCATGGCAACAGGGGCACGGGTGGTTTCCGGAAGTTCACCCCTGACCGCGATTGCTCAAGTTAGATCGATAAGCTAGCTGCCTCCAAGTCTACCGAAAAGTTACAGTCCATTATGTGTACTCGCCAAGTCCATCTACGCGCGGTGGCTTTCAGCCTCCTCGGGAGGGCAAGAAAAGAAGACAGACGAGAGAGAGGGAAGAGGTCGCGGACATCGGTTTCGCGGAGCCGAGCGAGTCTTCAGGAAGAAACTTGAAGAGCCGAGCATTTCCCCTCGGCTTTATTCACATCCGTCGCGCGAGAGTAGTCTCGCGAGAGCCGGCGCTCTTCTGCTCTCGTGGCGGTCAGCAGGGTGCGCGTCTCCAAGCTTCCGAATCGCGCCGCGCGGCGACGCGCGCCACGGTCGACGCGAACGTCCACCATGTTCGCCGGCGGAGTTTTCGCTCGACGACCAGATCTTTCCCCCCTCTTGCGCTTTCCAAATCTCGGACCACGAGGAGTCCGTCGCGATCTTCTCGGCGCACGACTCGGAGCGGAAAAACTTACGCGGGCTGAACGGCGCAATAATAAATCCGAGGGGACTTTTCACGAACGAACGGCACTTGCCGCGCGCATACGACCACGCGCGACGCTGCCGCTCTCGCTTCCTTCTTATTCTCTTATTTATCGCCCACATGTTCGTCCCGAGTGCTCGCTTTGAGAACCATTACGGCGCCGTGCACGCCGCTGTGCATAATACAGCGGCGCGCAGCATGCTTATTCCCACCCGCCACCGTGAGTCGAGTGAAAGAAAGAAAGAGAGAGAGAGAGAGAGAGAGAAAGTCCACTTACTCTGGAGCAGGATTTCTCCAGCGTTGCGTTCCAGCCCGCGCCATCAGGCATCAACCGGCCGATCTGAAAGCACAGAAACATTATTCCTCGCGTGACAGTCCCGCGACAACAACGAGCAGAGCGCAGGCCGGCTCGGTGCCGACCGAAATGCCAAACTTCGCGGTAACCGGCTGACATTTCTCGCGTGCGCTAAATATCGCCGCCGATTGCGAAATATTTAATCGCGTGATTTGCCGATTTGTCGACGGCACGTGGGGCTCCTCCTGCCGGCGGCTCCGTCCGCAGTCTATCTCCGCGGAACGGAGCGGAACTCTCGCAATCGCACGCGCGTCAACGCGATTCGTCGCGCTGTCCGATTTGACAGGAATTTGGTCGGCGGTGCTTTGTAACAACCACAGCGACGCGCGCTATCGCCGGAAATATCGCGATAACGGGCTGATGGATATTCGCCAGAGAGAGAGAGAGAGAGAGAGAGAAAGAAAGAGAGCTTAAGTGTATAAATCGCTTTCGTTAATGGCGGCACGCTGCTCTGTGCTGCGGAACCGCGCGCGCGCGCGCGGCGGCGCGAGTAATAAGTGTAACACGTAACGAATGCTTGCTGTATCTCCATAATTCGTGCCGCGCGCGCTCGCAGTAGCGGTAATGATCGTAATTTACAGTTACGAGAAGCTACGAGAGAGCCCTATTACACGTACACCGTGTTACGTAATTTTCCATATCTGCGCGTCGTGAGATATACGCGCGGGGGACGGGAGTCCTCAAAGGCAGAGCGGCACCGCGAAATTGGACGGACGCCCGGAGAGCGAAGAAAAATTAAAGCTCCTCGCGCGTTATCTCCTCTCGGTCGGCCTCTTTCGTCCTCTTTCGCTCTTAACGCGCCTCTCGAGTCTGCGTTAATAGCCGTCATTGGAAACTCGTTCTCATGTGAAATACCCGGATTTGAATTTAGAGCTGGACCGCAGTTCTCCTTTTAGTCATACGCGACGTCATTACGCCGAAATTTGAATTGAAATCCGAGTGTTTGCGACTCAAGCAGGTTTCAAATGATTATAATGATGTGGCTTTCTCAGTTGGACACCTCACCGAATAATACCTGACGACTCCATCAGTCGACTCTGAATTTTGTGAATTTTCTCGAGTAAGATTTTGCCCAGTAAATAGAGTTAGTTATTTGCATATTTTTTCATTCTGAATCGTCGGGTGAATATTTTTATTTGAGATTAAGGAAAAGTTCGATGATTAATTTAAGTTGTAATTAATCTCAATTTTAGTTTCGAGTTAAAAATTTGACAACGCAGTGCAGTGCCAAGCAGCTTTATGATTGCAGATGACGGTGGCAGTGCCGCTGGGGCGGATCTTCGTCGCTCTTGAGCGAGACTGCACTCCAAGAAATTCAGGGAGTATAAATAATTCACAAACGTTTACCCCTGCCACGTCCCTCGATTATCCACGCGACCTTTCCGCCGCGTTATACGCTCCATAAGAAATTCCGACGACAGGAAGAGTACGCGCGGCGCCGAAAGAGCGCGCGTTCCGACTCATTAACGCGAGATACAGCGCAGCCGTTCGTTCCGGTCCGATGTTATCGCGCGGGCGCGTCACTCCGTCGCATGTCGGCCCGTAATTGACGATCCATATTCGGTGTTGACCGGAAGTTCGGCTATCGCGGAACTTTGCCCGACATTCAACTCGCTCTCGCGTGGAACGCGATGATATAAATATTTGTCCGCTGGAAGAACGGATAAAAGCGCGTGACGCCGCGATATTTCGTCATTGAAGGGACGGAAGGAAGAAAAGAAGGGAGGAAGGAAGGAAGGAAGGAAGGAAGGAAGGAAAGAAGCCAGCAAGCACCACGCGGAGGAGCGTATAAGGGCGGTGGCGCGTTTATGGTGTGTACATATGAAATCCTTGGCGTTGCGTCGGAGAAAAGCCGAAAGTTCACCGTCATTCGGCCAACTTATGGCTCTTGAGGACTCATTCCCGCGCCCGCTTTACTGCCATCATAAATGTCCGTTAATCTGCATCAATGTGTCCCGGCGATTTCGCGCGACACGTTCCGGCTCGCTCGTTCGCTCGAGAAAAAGGTCGAGGGTGGAGCGAGAACGCGTCATCTCTTTGTGGCGCCGTCGTTCCCTCGAGCGGAAACACAGCGACGGCTTATCTCGTCTTCTCCCTACTCGGTTCAGTGATAAATTCCCGAGTTTCTCGCGATGTTCGCGTAGTTTAACATGGTGAGGACGCTGGCAGCCGCTCGATCGGAGGGAATCGAGACGCTCGTGGAATCGCCCGGAGACGCGGGAAATCAATCCGAGAAAGCGGGAAAGCCGAGGAAACGGGGTTTCTAATCCAGGTCACCCTCCTCGGATCCCCCCCCCCGCATGGAACATTTCTTGGGATCTAATTGGGATCTGGTTTGATGTTTTTCGGGGTCTAAGCAGACTCTAACAGAGCGCTACATATACTATGCATTGTGTATATAAATGTACATAATTTGCAAATAATTGTAACGTTCAGAACGCGAAAGTTTTCTCAATTTTCCGGGTTTCATTTTGCAACAGGATTTAAAATTTTAAAATTTCTAACTTTTAAATTTGTATTAAAAAAGCGCGCGCTTTTGATTACATAACATCACATTACAAATACAAGGTGCTAAATTTCAAACGTAACAGGTAAAAAATCTCGAAAACTATGAAAGATATAAAAAAAAGCTGAAACACGTGTTCCATGATTTCGAAGGGGAAAGAGAATAGCATTATCAGTTTTTTATTTGGAGGGCATTTTCAAGGTCAGTTAAAGGTCAGCTTAATTTTTTAAAATAGAAAGCCCAATTTTTTATTATATCTTCTTTTCCTACCAATTAATTTTAACAACTTTTGTCCGAAACATTTTTTTATTTGCCTAATATTTTCTGAAATATTTCAGAGGGAGAACTTGGTAACTTTTTCAACATTTAACTTACGATATCTCGCCAACTATTCGTCGAAAGAAAAAAATAGTATTAGACTTTTTTTATTCTACTTTATTAGACTTTATTTACTCTACTTTACTATCAAGAATATATTGCTATAATAGTGCCCTAACTTTTGTTAACTTATCGACCTTTGGAAATTTCAAAATTATATTAAATTAACGATACACATCGCAAAACGTCGGAACATGCAACCACCGCGAGTCGTCCAAATCGCTCGATGCCACAAAATAGTATTCACCAGCTGGAAACAAACACGCAGTTCCCAAGTGTTCCCCAAAAACTCCGAGGATCTGATCACGATCTATGTGCCGGCAGATTCGGGCGAATCTGAAGAAATTTGCCGCAAGACGCGAGTCGCGCATATTTACGGGCTCCCCGTGTCGATATCCGCGGACGAGACATCCGATCCGATTCGAGAGCTGGCGCAATAAGATCCCTCCGCTTTCGCGTCTCGAGGAAGAGGGCCGATGGCTGGCTGCGATGATCGACTATCGCGGTTTCCTCATGTTTCAAACACGACAACGACGACAGGCGGCCCGGCGGCCGTTATCGCGAGAGAAACGGCGGTCCTCAATAAAATATCGCAAGTAAAAGATTAAACCGGCTCTCCGTCTTGGCGATCGCTGACGGCTCTCGCCCGCTCTCTGCTCGACGCCACGCGGCTCTCCGGGGTGGCTCCGCCGATGCGCTTCTTCCGCCGAGGATGACCCTTCGGCCACGTGCGCGTGCCCGGGCACCCGCGAGGGCACGGCTCGGGTGCCCGGGCCTTTATATTATGTAAGCAACGTAGTTGTAGCGCAACTTCGGCCGCCTCATGCATATCTCAGCGACAAGTGGGTGCCACTTCAGCCTTCAGCCTGCGTTTTTCCAAGCCAAAGCGATCGAAATCCCTTTCGAGCGCGCTTCCCGGTCTTCTCTCCCCGCCAGAAGCATTCCGCGCTCGCTGCTTTTACAGAAAGTTGCTACTCCTCGGCCCTGACAATAGGCACGTCGCGCGCGAACGCTTTCCGCTCGATAGTTGCGCGAACGTTTGCGTACGCGTGATACAAGATTCAAGGGACGCGATAGGATTTGCTACCTTGACTCTGGCGATCTTGCGTAAATATCTTGCTCTCCGGAGTTGGATTTGTTCAGATCCGAACGGATGATGCCATTTTCGAGAGACATATCTCTCTCTCTCTCTCTCTCTCTCTCTCTCTCTCTCTCTCTCTCTCTCTCTATTAATCATGCGACGAGACTTTCATTTTTCTATTTCCGCAATTTTTTCCGCGAATATTTACCGCGGTACTGTGTTCTCGTTATATTTTTGTTAGTAATGTCGGGGTTAAAAAAAAAAAAACAAATTTCTCAATTTCTCAGTGTGTTGTGAAAAAATACATTTTTCATCCGCTGACATATTGCCTATCTGAAAATCGAATTCGAAATTCTATTGAAACAAAACTCCACTCGCTTTCCTTGCGTCGACATCTGTTCACGGCTGACGAGAAATGAAACTGAATCGAAAGCTGCTACGAGGAAAATTCAGCTGGTGTAATTTACAGATGGGAGATCGAGGAGGCAGAGAGCGAGCAAATTTGTGATGTATGATTATTTATGTATGATTATTTGTGTTGTACTATCCACGTTCTGTTCGCGCGAACCGCGGCGATTATCGCCGGCTTCTCGAGAAGCTCGGCTTCAGATTACTCGACGCCGCGATTCGACTGCGTCGCTGAGCACTCCGGTCGGTCTTTATTACGGCGATAGCGCGCGCGAGCGGCTTATTTTAAATACGTTATCTCGCGCACGGCGAGCAGCAACGGGCGTCGATGAATTTTAATCCGAGCGATTGATCGGTGGGAAGAAGGTGGAAAGGGGGGCGGGAGAGGGATAGCCTGCGGCCGATAAAGTATCTCGCACGCTCCGCGGAGAATCTGGGTCAGATTTTTACAATTTAAATGGTCCCTTTCAAATTCAAAGCGCGGAGATTATCGAGTTGCTCGTCCCTTTGAGCCCTCCCCCGCCAATATCTGAAATTTCCCGCCGGGCCACGCTTTTCGTCGGGTTAACACACACACACACACACACACACACACACACACACACACACACA